TGAAGTCAAGGATGTTAGGAATAAAATGGCACAGGCCAGGACTGCAAGTGCCAGGTCCCTGGTCCTTTTGTCCCCCAGCGCAGCGGCAGCGGGTGATGGACAGCAGGCGGGTGGGAAACCAAGGCCTGTGGAAGTTTTATTGAGGGGGAGGTAAGAAAATAAGGGAAGGTAAGAGAAAAGAGGTAGAGACACCGAGACAGAGGGGGACAGAGGACAGAAGAGAAGAGAGGCGGGGTGGGAGTTGGGTGGGGGTGAACACACAAGAAAAGCCCAGCCTGCCCCTTCAGAGGAACAGCAGGAAAGAGGGAACGGAAATGGGTGGAGTCTTTCTCTTAAAGAGCTTGGGTACATACAGCTGCTAGGAGCAGGTGGGTGAGAGGCAGGGACAGGTTTGCCTAGATTACCACAAAGGATCTAGGAGGAGATCCTACAGATATTACTACAGCAGCATAATCCCTAAATATCCCATTTATTTATTTACCCTTATGCACAGATGAATGTAATCCTTACACCTCATCAAGGAAAGTTATTTTAGCAACACAAGGGATTATCACAGAAAGCGCAATCAGTCAAAATACAGACTTGTGATGCTCAGTCCCCATTGACACATAAACAACCTAACTCCTTCACCTCAGGCTCGGGAATCACCTAGAAGGGGCATGGGGGGGTATTGTAAGAGCCAGAGGAACAGGATGTTTGCTGTGACATTGTGTCCCCTAGAAATGTCAGAGAAGCTACATGCATGAAATCTTACAAACATGGCTGCCTAACCATGAGCTGAACAAGGATAACATCAAGAGACACGCTAACATGGAAAGAAGAAAGCTCACTAGGCCTCAACCCTGGTCAAACACTAAGGAATTCTGAGAGCTGGAGAAATAGTCTTCCCCAGAGAAGAGTGCACTGTATGGTTATCCAATGCCAAATGTTCATCCCTGAACATTTGGTTATATTTTATTTTATTTAGGAATACACATGAACATATAACTACAATAAGGAACACAATAAAGGAAAAAGTCTTTAAGAAATAAATGCCTATGCAAGGTCAAGATTTTAGATCATCTACATAAAAAATGACTAGAAGGGTCCTGTACCATTTTGTATTATGTCTACTTACATAAATAACACTTAATAGGGAGATGGACAGATGGATCAATAGGTGTGTCTGTCATTCTTGCAGACACCAAGTTTCCATTTCTAGAGCCCCTGTGGCTCCTGACTGTCCAGAACTATAGTTCTAGAAAGCAAGCATGTAGTATACAGTCATATATATCTCGACCAGCAAGAAGGACACGACCACGACTCTTCTTCAAGCAGTT